CAGTGTAGACAAATGAGCAGTTCTATTACTTCTGAAAGGCAATCTAATTCCCTTCAAATTTAAAAGTTTCCACGGTTTCCTAACAGGCCTCAGTGGGGCTCATGTAGAAATTAATAAGTTCACAGTGTGCCCAGCTTGCTTTCATTACCATTTTCTTTGCCAAGCAGCGGACACACTTTGCATTATGACTCAAGGATTTTTCTGTATGTGATTCTCTAAGATCATGTCCACTGAGCTCAGACACCGGGTTGAGAACTGAGTCAGGTCTCATGGACTTGACTGAGGTCTGAGGGAGGTTTCACTGACTGAGAGAGAGCACCTCTGCTAATCAGCTGGGTCAGGAATCAAACGCAAATATCACAGGGAAAGGGAATTCACAGCAAGGATGAGAGCCCTGGGCTCCAATCCCAGGCCCGCGGCTAGCCTGCTCTGGAATACTGAGCGACTTTCTTGGGCTCCCTGTGAGTCAGTGCAGTGATCTCCTCTATGAAAGGAGAAAAGAGAGGGATCATGAAAAGTAAACTCAAATCTACAAAACTTCGACTATATCTTGAATCTTTGCAACATGCATCCTAGACATTCTTTAAATTTAATCAACACAGCAACTCTGGGAAGCTTATACATTTATTCCACAGATGAAGAGAGTGAGACTACTGTAACTGGTGAATCCATCTTATTGCCATGAAACCACACCATCAGAATGAGCCATACAGGGTCAGGGAATGAGAGATGTGTGTGAATGTGACCGCAAATGCACACAACTTCTCTGGAAAGCATTTTAACAGGTTTCGGAACTTTAAAAGATTTGACCAATTAATTCCAATTCTGAAATCCATCCAAATGATAGAATCAGAAATGTAGACACATATTGTAATAAAAAAGGCCTGAAATAGACAAATTACCAGTCATCTCACAACAGTCTGAATGGCCATCATCAAAAAGTCTACAAATGATAAATGCTGGAGTGGGTGTGGAGAAAAGGGAACCCTTGTGCACTGTTGGTGGGAATGTAAATTGGTACAACCATTATGGAGAACAGTATGGAGGTTCCTCAAAAAATTAAAAAACAAACAACCATAGGATCCAGCAATCTCATTTCTGGGTATATACCCAAAGGAAATGAAATCAGGGTCTTGAAGAGATTATCTGCCTTCCCATGTTCATTGCAGCATTATTCACAATAGCCAAGATATGGAAACTTCCTGTCAGTGGATGAATGAATAAAGGAGATGTATACAGACATTATTCAGCCATGAGAAAGAAGGAAATCCTGCCATTTGTGACAATATGGATGGGCCTTGAGGGCAGCATGCTAAGTGAAATGTCAGACAGAGAATGATAAATACTGTATGATATCACTTATATGTGGACAGTGAAAAAGCTGAACTCATAGAAACAGACAGCAGAATGGTGGTTACCAGGGGTTGTGGTGGAGAAACGTGGAGATGTCAGTCAAAGGGTACAAACTTCAAGTTATGAGTTTGGGAGATCTAATGTTCAGCATGGTGATTAGAGTTAATAATATTATATTATATGGGCTTCCCTGGTTGCACAGTGGTTAAGAGTCCGCCTGCCAATGCAGGGGTCACGGGTCTGTGCCCCCGTCCGGGAGGATCCCACATGCCGCAGAGCGGCTGGGCCCGTGAGTCATGGCTGCTGAGCCTGCGCGTCCGGAGCCTGTGCTCCGCAACGGGAGAGGCCACCGCAGCGAGAGGCCTGCGTACCGCAAAATAAATAATAAATAATTATATTATATTATATTATATTATATACTTGAAAATTGCTAAGAGAGTAGACCTAAAATATTGTCACCACAAAAAGAAGTGGTAATTATGTGAGGAGATGGAGGTGTTAGGTAACACTATGCAGTGGTAATCATTTTGCAACATATAAGTGTATCAAGTCAACACGTTGTATGCCTTAAACTTACACAATGCTATATGTCAATTATAGCTCAATAAAGCTGGGAAAAAATAAAAGAATGGTAAACTATAGAATATTCATTGAGCTGGAAATCATGCAGCCATTTAATGAGATGCAGAAGAGCATTTAATAAAATGGTGTATATTCATTAGTAGGAAAAATAAGTTATAATATTGAATATAAAGTGTATCACTATTTTTGGATTAAAACAGAGTAGCAAAACGACTGGAAAGAAATACACTAAGATGTTAACAGAGACTCTCTCTGGGGGTAAGAAGATTTCACATTTTCTACAATAAGCACTTTGTCATAAGCAGGAGATATATAGTAAATGCTATTTTATATCCCTGAATTTTGTATTTATCCACAAAATTCAATCATGATTTTTATTTAAATGAGTGATATTTTAGGTAGGAAATTTTTCTTAAAAAGTTTTTAAAGAGGGAAAATCTCAAGAGAAACAACACAGAGCAAAAGTGATACGGGTGGAACCATCCCCCCATGAGCTTATAGCTCATCTCACTGGCTAAGCTGAAAATAAAGACCACTGGTATGAGGGTGGAAAAACTGACACACAATACCAGAGCAGTTGATAAGGGGGGGACCAAAAGCTGCAGCTGACTTCAAGAAGTGATGGAGCTGGCAGATATGAATTTTTCAATTTTATGAGAATGATAGGGATCTGAAATAAATCTTCAGTATTTTATTTTTAAGATAAATGTTTTAAGATAAATGTTCTTTGCAGCATGGATGGCTGGTTAGTGTCTGTGTCCTGTCTCAGAGCCAATCATAAATAACACTGAGAAAAATAGCTTTGACCATTCTAAAAAGCACCTTTACTTTTTACCCTTAAGAATTTGGAAGATTATACTTTGATGCATTAAGCTAGATTTTTTTTTTTAAACGCAGCTGCCAATATCAGGCGGAGTGTAGAGATTGTCTTCAGATGGAAATAATGGCTCAGGGCTTCGCTTAGAAGCAAACCTTAGTTTCAAGAGGTGTCAGAACACCTGTGGTCACATCTGATGGTCTGAATACAATTTCAAGTTTAAAAGTATTTGATGGATTTAGAATTGAAGGAAATCCTTTGGTCAATCTTCAGGTGAAATGATTAACTGTCCTTCAGGTCGACAACCAAGGAAGGTAAGTGTTTGTAATCCAAACTTTCAAATAGCAGATTTGCTTGAATTTTTTTTTTCCATTTTAGTCTTTACATTAGAGTTTATAAGTTTACTGTAGAACAGCTTGTTCAATGACCTCAGTTTCCTAGTACACTATTGGATGAGAACAGGGCTACACTGAGGCAGACACAACGAATAATCGGACACATCCCTCACTTTTAACGTGTTAGCCTCACTACCTTACAGTGACTTAAAAGCATCTGTTTACTTCCCATTTAATATGTCATTAGTTTTTTCTCTTATATCTTAAAGAGGGGTCACATACTTGAATGCAAAGATGAACAAAGGACCTGCACATGCTCAGTCTAATGAGGGAAGCCACAACACAACTCTATTTCAGATCTAATTCATCAAGATAAACCAGAATCCTGCAGGTTTTATGCAAACTTTCCCAACTTCTAAATGCTGTCTCTATTTCATTTTTTAAAGCACACAGTGCATGCCCGTCCAAACATTCCCATGACCCAAACATTTTTGTTAGTGTTTGTTTTAAAATCTCATTTCCAGGGGGTTGGTGAGAATTGCTGATTAACCTCAGTATAGTTATGTCCAAGAAGGGGATGAGTTGGAATATTCCCAGGCTGGTAAAGAAGGTCTGGGGAAGACACCTCATCTACTGTGGGATTCACACTGCCAAGTGGCCTTTGGTTGAGCTGGGACCTCTGAGGATGTCTGGAAGATGTATGGAAATGTCCCAACTCTAAACACCATGGAAGTCACAGTTAGGTACCCTTGGTGGTTATCATTCTACATAAAATAAAGATTAAGCCTTCTTCTGAGAGTCTAGAGTATCTCCCCCATGCTCTGCGAGAATGCTTATGGGTTTGTCTTCACATAAGGCTGAATTTCCCCATTTAACTCACCCCCTCACTCCTTACTTTACAATGTTCTGTAATGAAAAACAGGACTTCACAGAGCTTATCTCTTAGAAGTGTGAAAGAGCCATTTTTTTCTGCCCAAGTAGCTCATAATGTAACAGACAAACTGTCAGAAAAACTAGACTTCATCATGGTAAAAACCTCAGCCTGGCACCCATCAATCATAAAGCAATCTTCCAGAAATCTTGAAAACCTTCATTAAATTTCCTGTCTTTCTTCTGACAGTTATAAAATGTTAACAATATCACTCATGATGTAGGCATCTTCAGAAATTCTTTGTCCAACCCCTCCCCGCCCCGCCCCGCCATCACCCGTCCCCTTTTCTTTGCCAAAATCTATGGAAACGTGAGACACAGCCATCTTCTTTCACACACCCCTCCTGGGATCTGGCCCTTGCAGGAGGTTAGAGGAGGAAGCAGTGGTCATCTTGATGACAATGAGAAGGCTCTCTAGCCACAAGCTGCAAGGGCAAAATGGCACTGCCTCCGGATTCCTCCTCTAAAAGCGACACCCGTTTTGAAGCGCAAGGGCACAAGTCTGTCCTACCCTTAGCAAATGACTCCCGATCCTTTTTTCTTTCCTTTTTCTCTTGGCAGTCTACCAAGTTACAAGCCTTCACCTGTTCGTGATATGTGGGTAGTGGGGACAGTGGGTTACACATCTTCTCGTGTCGATGAGAAGATACAGAATTTTCCCTCTTTCTAGGGGGAAGATTCCCCCACAGGCCTTGCTGGCCCAGCTTTTCCAACTCCAGAGGCCACTTCAGCAATATACCATCTCTCAGAAGAAGAAGATATAAGGGTCTTGCATTGCAGGCAACACCAAGGAGAAAAACCATAAGGAGATACAGAATCCACACCAGGAATCAGAGGAAGCACACAACTTTGAAAGCACAAGCTGATCTGTGAGAGCCACACGTGGTGACAAGAGCAATGGAGCCCAAGCCTGGGTTTCGTGGAGGTTTCCCAACTTGTCTCCCAAATGAGCAGAGCCTAACCATGCTAAGCTATCATCTCACCTGCAAAAGGAACCGGTGCATCTTTATCCAGGGCGACAAGTGGTGGGTCCAAAATGACTGTGTCGTTGTTCTCTGTTATGACCCCATGATACGAAGTCTCAATCCATGGCTTGTGCTTGTTCACTGGAAAACAATGGAAACAATAAAACAAAAAGATTGACTTTTAAGATCATTATTTGAATCCATAATAATATTATGAATATTGCCCAAATCCCATTATTTCTATTTCTAGATGCCCAGTATGGATATTTTAAAAAACTAATCAAAAGCTTTAATTCTTAAATGCTACTATCTATTCAGAGATGTTTCAGAGTTAAAATCCATTATCAATCAACAAACTAGCAGATTACAACTGCATGCTGGGATTTCTGACCCCAATCTTATCCAATCCATCATTAGGAGCTGTTACTGAATTTTATATACATGTACATGGATAAGTACCAACAAATGTGTAAATATACGACAAACATTTTAATCTTTTCTGATCCATTAAAGACTGACTCTATCTAAATGGTCTAAATTATATAGCATTTTAAGTTGCTCTTCAATAATTTGATCAGCTGAATGATATACTGTATAATGTACAATTAATACACTTAAAATACATATCAAATATATATTATTAGTTGAGATGTCCCCCCGCAAAAGATGGATTGGAGTCCTAACCTCCAGTACCTTGCAATGTGACTTTATTTGAAGATAGGGTCTTTATAGAGGTAATCAAGTTAAAATGAGGTTATTACGGTGGGTCCTAATCCAAAATGACTGGTGTCCTTATAAAAAGGGGAAATTTGGCCACAGAGACAGACATGCACACAGGGAGAACGCCACGTGAAGAGTGAAGTTGTGCTGTCACAAGCCAAGGAACTACAAAAATCTACAAGAGAGACCTTCAGAGCAAACATGGTCCTGCTGATAATTTGATTTCAGACTTTTGGCCTCCAGAACTGTGAGACAATAAATTCCTGCTGTTCTAAGCCACTCAGTTTGTGGTACTTAGTTATGCCAGCCCCAGGAAACCAATGCTGTGGTCTAAAGTCAACCAGCACTAAGACTTGTACCAGGATTGGTGTAATAGTCCTATGTGAAAATCTTATCTGGTGAATATCCTATTTCTGCTAATTCCAGCCCCTTGATTTGTCTCTGGTCCAGCTCTCCTATGTGAATAGCTGCAATGGCCTCTTGACTTGTCTTCCAGTAAGAAGTCTTGTCCCATTCCAATCCATCCTCCACAATGACATTAAGAGTGATCTTTCTAAAGTATTAATTCTAATTCTTCAACTGGGAGCTCCTTGGTTTGTCCTTTTATTCCCCCACAGGAATCTGGGTGCAGAGTATCTGCTTTAGAACTGAAATGACAGATTACAGGGAGCCCTAGAATAATCAAAGCTGTCCCAATGCTAATCCTCACAACCTGCTTCACAGCTTAAGAGATGTTGTCACATATGTAATGCTCCCCCCAGCAACCTGAGAGGTAGGTGTGATCATTATGAAAATGACAAAGAAACTACTTTCACAAGGTGTGACTTTCCCAAGATGGCCACAGGGTTAATAACTAACAATGGCGAAAACCCAAAACTCTTTCCTACATCATGATATCCAAAAAGTGCCCCCCCACACTCATATCATAATATACGTAATACACATTACACTATATAACCCACATTATAATATATATTATACACACAATACATATTGTTTCAATAGCCATGACAAAGCAAAAGCTTATACATAGATTTGAGAACAGATCTGTGGCAGTGGCTCTGTCCCCTTCCCACTCCATCATGCTTTAAAAGGTCAGTTAACAGCTGTTCCAGGATTGGTGGTAGGCTCAACCTGGGACCACTGTTTTGCCCTTTGTCACCCATTCCACAGCAACCGTGAACTAACCGAGGGGCAGTTTAGTGGGGCATGGACATATGTGTTGCTATTCTCAGTTGTTGGCCTCTGAGACCTATTTCTGATGATTGAATCATGCCCAGGGTAGAGAGCCCCTTGCCTAGAGCAGGTCTTAATGGGGCAGCAGGCTCACCTATGCTCACTTGTTGGCATTCAAACCAGTGCTTCATTATGGACCTTGGAAGAATTACAGCCACTCTGGGTTGTCCCCACACTCATTTGCTCTTTTATTAGCCATCAACACAAATGCAATGTAAATAATTTGCAACTGTTGGGAAAAATAATTAACCTTTTTTTCCTTTAATTAAACCTAGGGGCCTATTCATTAGAAATGTGTACAGAAGATATACCAGGAGCTTACCCAGTGTTGCAGATTCACGCACCACTTGGCTCACTGGCAGACAACAGAATCTAGAGTCAAGGTTGTTGGGCTGTGGCCCTGGTTTAGCCACTTCAGGGCTGATTCAGTGCAAGTCAGTTGGCCATGCAGCATCTCAACTCCCTCAGCTGTAAAATGGGGAAGATGACACTGCCCACAGGGTTGTCATGTCATTCAGATGTCCTCAGCTGGCCACATAGCCCCTGCTCTTTCATTACCCCCCTGCTCTCTGGGCAGTGAAAGTGTCACAGGAAAGGTGCTCTGCAGACCCTGAAGTTAAGAAGTCGAGATTTCTGCATCATTAGTGGGGATTCTCCTCTCTATCACTACTATAGTTAGTTGAGTACCTACCACATATTAGGCATTTTACATTCATTCATTAATCCTCACAACAACCCCTCTAGATGAGACTTTGTATCTCATTGTGCAGGTGAGGAACTGAGTCTCAGAGGGGTTTAAATATTCCCTTTTTGGAAAATAAAAAAGGTTCATATTCCTAAAATTTCTTCATTTCTCTCTCACTTTCTAACTTCCTTCAGATCTATCTCAACTTTGCTTTGTCAAGGTTGATAAACATCTGCACTTTGATGAGTAACCCCAATGAAATCTTCTTTGCTTTGTGTATAGATCAAATCCTCAGGTTTGCAAACCAATAACTTAAATTTACATTATTTTGACTATGAGGATACCATTCATGGCTGAGCCAATTATCGTGCAAGGATTACTTCCTAGTGGTCCAACCATCATCCCAAGAACACTATTCCTTGTATAGAGACCAGCTGGATTCTTGATTCATTCATTCCATCAAATGGCTGAATCATCCTCCATTTTAACCTGCATGATATTTGGAACCAGCCTCCTTCATTTATTTTTCCTAACTTTTATTTTATATTGGAGTATAGTTGATTAACAGTGTTGTGTTAGTTTTAGGTGTACAGCAAAGTGATTTAGTTATACACATACCTGTATCCATTCTTTTTCAAATTCTTTTCCCATTTAGGTTGTGTCATAGTAATACTGAGCAGAGTTCCAGTAGGTCCTGGTTGGTTATCCATTTTAAATATAGCACTGTGTGTACTTGTCAATCCCAAACTCCCTCACTATCTCTCCCCCACCCCTCACCCTTCTGCCCTGGTGACCACAAGTTTGTTCTCTAAGTCTGTTTCTGTTTTGTTAATAAGTTCATTTCTATCATTTTTTTTTTTTAGATTCCGCATATAAGCAATATCACATTGTTTATTTTTTGTTTTCTGAACTTAATGATTGTCTTTTTATTTCTGATGAGTAATGAAACACAGAGTTACTTCCCCACATGCCTACAATATTACAGCTTTTTAATCTTTCCATCTATTACTCATTCCTCATTTGTAAAACAGAGACACTTTCTTCATAGGAATATTGTAAAAACTGCATATGATCATTTAGGCAAATCTAGTACTCCTGACACGACTAAGCATTCAAATACTCTGAAGTCCCCCTAGCTCATCTCATGCTTCTGAATGGTTGAAGTTTAACCTTACATTCTCAGAGGCATTTAGCCCAGCTTCATTCATTCAACAAACACCTATGGAGTACTTAAAATGTGCAAAGACAGTCTAAACATCGGCAGTAAAATGGGGGACAACGTCCCTGAGAAAAGCATTTGACAACATTCATTCATAATTAAATCTATCAACAAACGAGGAATAGAAGGAAACTTCTTCACTCAGATAAAGAGCTTTTATAAAAATCTATAGCTGGGCTTCCCTGGTGGCGCAGTGGTTGAGAGTCCGCCTGCCGATGCAGGGGACGCGGGTTCGTGCCCCTGTCCGGGAAGATCCCACATGCCGCAGAGCAGCTGGGCCCGTGAGCCATGGCCGCTGAGCCTGCGCGTCCGGAGCCTGTGCTCCACAACGGGAGAGGCCACAACAGTGAGAGGCCCACGTACCACCAAAAAAAAAAAAAAAAAAAAAAAAAAAAAAAATCTATAGCTAACATCATACTTAATGATTGAAGAGTGAATTTTTCCTACTCAAGTTGGAAATGAAAAAGTAAAACTGTCTTTATTTTCAGAGAACATGATCATCAATGAAGCAAAATCTACAGAATCTACAAAAGTACTACTAGAGCTAATAAATGAGTTTAGGAAAGTCACAGGATAGAAAGTCAATCTATAAAAATCAATTGTATTTCGATGTATTAGAAATAAACAATTGGAAATGTAAATTTAAAGATATTAATATAATAGCATCAAAAAACGAAACATTTAGGAATAACTTTCACAAAATACGTGCAAGATCTGTAAATTCTCTAAGATATCGCTGAGAGAATTTAATGAAGACCTGGAGAGGTCTTAGTGGAGAGATAGACAGTGTTCATGATTTGGTAGACTCAATATAGTTAAGATGTAAAATTTCCCCTAACTGATCTATAAGTGTCAATGCAAAGTCAAAATAATAGCAGAATTTTTTAAATGGTTAAGCTAATTCTAAAATTTATATGAAAATGAAAAAGACCTGATACAGCCAAAACAAATTTGAAAAAGAAGAGCAAAGTTGGAGGACTTACACTACTTGATTTTAAGACTTATTATAAAGCTACTGTAATCAAGACAGTGTGATACTAACATAAAGATAGACATAGAGGTCAATAGAAAGAATGAAGGGTACAGAAATAGACACACATACATATGGTCAATTTCCGACAAAGGTTCCAAGATAATTCAGTGGGGGAGAAGATAGTCCTTTGATTAAATGTTACTTTGGAACTTCAGTCCTACTGCTCATCATACACAAAAATTGTCTCTAAATAGATCATGATCTTAAATGTAGCAGTTAAAATTACAAAACCTTAAAAAGAAAGCATA